AACCACTACTGCTACTACTACTACTAACTACTACTACTACTACTACTACTACTACTACTACTACTACTACTACTACTACTACTACTACTACTACTACTACTGCTACTACTACTACTACTACTACTGCTACTACGTTGCCGCTGCTGATCCCTGTGAATTTCCTGTGGAATCCTGGCGAATCTTCCAATCTCCTGTTCAGTAAAGCAGAAACAGTATTTGTCAACCCCTGCATCCTGTGAGGACCCAGAGGCTACCTACATAGATATCGTATTCGCCGCGTGGTTTGGCACCGAAATCCTCCTCCGGATCCTTGTGGCAGCTCAGCTGGAATAGCATGAAGAGGGGCAGCTCACGTCTTAAAGTTTGCGGCTTCTTGGTTCTGGGCAGATGTTTTGAATTCTCGGCTGTCCTCTTTGAGATATTTTGATAGCTCGTGGACTGATGGGGTGTAGATGAATTATGTCCTGCCGCAGGCAGCAGCGGCGCAGAATGTCATCTGGATCCCAAGCCCGAAACCCCTAAACCCCTAAACCCCTAAACCCCTAAACCCCTAAACCCCTAAACCCCTAAACCCCTAAACCCTAAACCCTAAACCCTCAAGAGCAGGATAAATAGAAATTGTGTGTCTTTCACTTGGAAATGGATTGCATCTTCAATATTTTCGAATTTTCCTTAAACGTGTGCGTGGAAAGCCACACCCGCCCAGCCCAGTCCTGCCCAGCCTAACCCAGCCCAATTCAGCAGCTCCCAACCAGCCCCAGGTCCAGCCCGCCCCAGCCCCAACCCCAGCAGCAGCCCAGCAGCCAGCCCCTGCCCAGCCAGCCCCAGCCCAATCAACCCACCCGGTCCCCCCAGCCCCCCAGCCCAGCCCAGCCCCCACCAAGCCCGCCCCAGCCAGCTCGGACCCCAGTCCGCCACCCAAAATGAAAGTTTCCTGTCAAAAAAACAAAACCTGCTCAGAACTTTCGGTCAAAACGTTTCGGTCAAAACTATCCCCCAAATCCCAGAAACCAAAATTCAAAAGAAAACCCAAAACCCGGCAAAACTCCGGACCCAAACCCTATACAACTTCTATAAACCCTAAACCCTAAACCCTAAACCCCAACCCCGACTGCGCAGGACGGCTGCCGCTTCTTTACCAACGACGAGAAGTACTGGAGCCTTGCTCTCTCGCTGTAGACATGAAGTCTAGGTTAGAAGCTGCCCCCACCCTGTAATAGTGGTATCATAGGAATATAATAGGGCCCGAATATAATATTAATCTAATCCTTCTGGTCACTAGTACAGGGTGGGGGCAGCTTCTAAAGTAGAACATTATTCTTACAGTACCTTTGGTTAGTAGGGAACGGAAGAGTGGTAGGGTTCCTTTAAAGGGATCCTTAAAGGGATCTATAGTAGGGTTCTATATTAGGAACCTTGATATTTTAAATTTACCTTTGGTTAGTAGGGAACGGAAGAATGGTAGTAATAGTAGTTATCATTGTACCCCACTCCTCCTTTACCTACTAACCAAAGGTAGGGGACAACATTATTTGGGTGTCGGCGTTACAACCAGCCCTCAGCCCCATGAAGTCGCGCAGCGCTGAGGAACATTTTCGATTTCCTCCTCGTGGCTACTTGGCAGCACCCGTGGACACCCTAAACCCTAAATAAACCCTAAGCCCTAAACCCTAAACGAAAGCAACAGTGGCAGCAGTAGCAACACGACCGTAGCAGCTGCCGGGGAGGAGAAGTGGTAGCAGGCCAGGAGCAGCAGTGGTGGCAGTAGTAGTAGTAGTAGTAGTAGTAGTAGTAGTAGTAGTAGTAGTAGCAGTAGCAGTAGCAGTAGCAGTAGCAGTAGCAGTAGTAGTAGTAGTCCTCGTCGTGGAAGTGTAGAGTCGTAGCAGCAGTCGTAGTAGCAGTAGCAGCAGAAGAAGAGCCCATCCTGGCATTTGCAAGACCCCAAATTCCAGACCCTAAACCCTTAAACCCCAAACCCCTAAACCCCTAAACCCTAAACCCCTCAACCCTAAACTCTAAATCCCTAAGCCCCTAAACCCTAAACCCCTGGTAACCCCTGGTAACCCCTGGTAACCCTAAACCCTAATTCCAGACTCCCAGTCGCATTTCCCCAGCTTTAGGCCGAGTCCTTGGCGAGCCTCACGTTAAACACCGGGAATTTGAGTCTACTCCGGATCTTTCGAGTGTTCCGCCACCTGGCTGCCTGTTACATCTTTCTGTGCATGCTGAATGGTTTAGGGTTTAGGGCCTAGGGTTTTAGGGTTAGGGTTTAGCGTTGTAGTTCATTGTTGCTCTTCGCACGCAGTAGAGAGTGCATGGTTGGATGTCGGAATGTGGGCCTTGTTCCGAATGACCCCTCCTTTCAAGGCACGAAGTCTTCGAGGAGGGGCATATGGGAATAGTCAGGAACCGTGGAAGCCACGCGAATCTAGAACCCTGAACCCTAAACCGTATGCATACCGTAAGCCCTCGCTTCTGGAGCTCCAGTTGTTCGGGCCAGGTTTCAAAGTGGGGTTTGGGAGGCAACACCAAAACTCTGAAGCAACTAGCTCTTACTTTGGCAAGCCTAAAAAACCAAGCACGCCCGAGTGTTTTTTGTTATTTTTGTTATTTTGGGGGTTCCTCATTTTCACTACACTATAATGTCCCGATTCTAATTACTCAGGCCCCCCCATATCATAGGACCCTTTCAGAGCCCTTTAAAGAACCTTATGGAGCCCTTTAAAGAATACTGAAAGGATCCCTATTCTATTTATTAAGGCCCCTGTAGTATTCCCATTGCTCCGGTGTCTGCGACGAGCTCGGACATGACCACTGAGATCTTAAGCTGGGTTCTTGTAAGGAACTTACTTTCAGTTGCCATAATGCGGATCTGTAGGGGTTCCTTTAAGGGATCTATAAGTGTTCCTGTAAGGGATCTAGAAGGGTTTTAGGGTTTCAGGTCTAAGTAACCAAAGGGGGATCTTTAGTAATGAATATGGTTTCCTTATGTAACTTAGGTTTAATCCCTTAAAAAGAACCCAGTACGCCCCAGGTGACAAATCCCGCTTCTGAATCTAAAGCCCTAAGCCCTTATCCTTAAGCCCTAAACCCTGAACCCGAAGCCTTAAACTAACAGAGTAACCCTAGAATTTCTAGTGTGTGCATGCGCTCGAAGGATCGCCGAACCTAAGCCGCAATTCTGACGTCGTTCATGCCAAACAAGACCCCAAGCCCGAAAGCATCCACAAATCAAGCAGGAACCCTTATAGAAACCCTTTTTAGTAACCTTTATAGTAAGGACGCTTGCTCCGAGGTTTGATCCGAATTGTCAGACTGGTCCGGACTGCCGGGCTCTCATCTCTGAGTTGGTTGGCCCTAAGCCCTAAACCCTAAACCCTACCTAAACCCTAAACCCTAAACCTTATCTAAACCCTAAAACCCTAAACCCTATCTAAACCCTAAACCCTAAACCGTTAAACCCCAAGCTCCATGCACAGCACCTCGACACCCCAAACCCAAAGCTCTACGCTGCAAACTCCAAACCCGAAACCGTGAACCCCCGAACGCTCCAATCGCTCGTCCAAGCCAACCGCAGGACCCCAACCCGGGCAACGAACCGCATGTTTTGAGGCTCAGGGTTCGATGTTCGAGGTATGCTCGTCATGGCCAGTGAAGCCGCAGTCCTAAATCCTCTACCCAACCCTTGGTCCCAAGACCAAAACCCTCAATTTTTGGGCAAGGGGGTTTCGCTCGGGCTGGGACCTTGGTAGTGCTTGGGCGTTGATTGGCTTATACAGCTTTGTGCAAGGAGCTTCAAAGCTTAGTACCGGGTAGTAAGGTTAGTCCTTGCTTGGAGGGTCGGGGGACTTAGTAAGTAGGTAGTCAGTAGACTTATAAGTACCCTAAAAGGGACTCTAATTGGGGCTATGGTACTTATAAGTCCCCAAAATAACCAGTTACTAAGTCCCCCGACCCTCCAAGTGACGATCCAATAACATGTGTAATATACTTGGTTAGGGTTCAACGCTCTACCAGGGATCCTCCGTCCTGAAAGTCCCGGCAGTGTCCAAGGTCAAAGCGTTACGCCGGTTGCGGACGACGCTTGGTCGCTGCACACCTAAGCCCAAGATCCTGAACCTTACCCAGAGACTCCAATATCCCTTAGTTAAGGAAGATACCTGAAATCATATTAGGGATCCTACTACAAATTTAAGGTATATTCCTTTAATTTAAGGTATATTCCTTAGTTAAGGGATATTGGAGTCTCTGGGTAAGCCCCCTAAACCCCAAACCCGAAGTCCTGAACTGAAGATCCGAAGCTTTGAGCCCTGAACACTAAACTGCATGGCCTTCATGGACTCGGACTAGGGTTTAGGGTTTAGGGTTTAGGGTTTAGGGTTTAGGGTTTAGGGTTTAGGGTTTAGGGTTTAGGGTTTAGGGTTTAGGGTTTAGGGTTTAGAGTTTAGGGTATAGGGTTTAGGGTTTAGGGTCTCATGCCCTGCACCCGAAACCCTACGCCTCCGCTCGAGGGCCCAAAGCCCTCAAGGAAAAAAAAACCCAAATTTCAACCCGTTAACCCGGAAGCCCATCTAGGACCCTTGCATAGAACTCGTAGCAGCGCAAGACCCTTTGAAGTTCCCCCACACAACCTTTTTGCGGCCCTTAAGCAATCATCTTCAACCCTAAACCCTAAACCCCTAGGCACTGAATCTTGAACCTCTAACCATAAATCCTAAACCTAAACCCCAAACCTTACACCCCAAACCCCAAACCCTAAACCCTAAACTCTAAACCCCAAACCCCAAGTCCTAAACCCTAAGCCCTTACAGCCGAGGATGATCTTCTCCATCTTGAACTCTTTCGTCGATCTCCTTTGGGCGATCGTGGTGGTATTCTGCTAGCCATCGGAGGGGAGTCTGGAGGTTTTAGGGGTTTAGGGTTTAGGGATTTAGGGGACTTAGGGGTTTATAGGAGGGTTTAGGGTTTAGGGATTTACGGGTTTAGGGCATCTTTAGGGGTAGCTGTAAGGCTTCTATAGGGGTTCAGGTGTTTCGGCTACGCCCAGGGCTTGGGGTTTGGCGCCTCTAAGCTTCGCGAGGTTTTGGTCTGTAGTGTTTAGTAAGTAAGGGTTTAGGGTTTAGGGTTTAGGGTTGAAATTTAGGGTGGAGGTCCTCAGGGTTTGCAGATTTTTGGTGTCTGGGGATAGTTTCCTTTTGCTGGCCGTATGAATCGTTGTGGAGGTTTTGTTTGTTTAATGGTGTGGGTTTGAAGGGGCGCCCACGGGTTTGTCCGGGATTCGGGATTTCGTTTCTTGCCATCGGGGCTGTCTGCCCGAAACCCCTAAGCTGCCTCTGGCCTTTCCCCTGCGGCCTAAAGCCCGAAACCCTTTCCCCTGCGGCCCAGGTGGGTAGTTGTCAAAATTCTGGTCCCTTGTTAGGCACCCTAAATATTAGGTGCCGCATTAGAATCACGACCCCAACAAGGGACCCTAATGTTGACAACCACCCCAGGTGATTTTGATTATCTACATCTTTAGCATCATTTTCAGCAACGCCGTCGCGTTGTACTTCGACGAGGCCGGCCTGGAGTTGGTGCCGGGTTTCTGGTCAGCGGGGCTCCAGTCCTCCTCCTATTTCGCCACATCTACACCTTGAGCCCTAAACCCCAAGCACCAAAGCCTAAACTCTAGGCCCTAAGACTAAAGCGGGAAGCCCCAAGTCCTGAAGCCTAGACACTAAACCCCCCAAAACCCCAAGAGCCCAGCACCCTCGACCCTTAAAGCCAAAGCCGTGAACCGCTGAACCCGGCACCCAAAACCTCTATATGGGAGCTTCCGAACATCAATGGTACCTTATTTTGGGGGTCCGTAGAATGGGGATCCTATTATGTCGGGTACTATATCAGGGTCCCCTATTTTCGGAAACTCCCAAATCGCAAAGCGCCCACCAGAGCCCTGCGAGGTGCACATGGGCCTGGACGATTTAGACAACGGCAACAAGACGCTGGTTACTGGGCTTTGGAGTACCATACTTCAACACTTTTTTCTTTAAGGAACCATTATGAAATAAAAGTTTATACTTTTCTTATCCCTGGTTACTGAAAAGCCCAGGTCATACAACAGGCAACAGACGTCTGGACCTAAGCCATGTCAGCTTTCCGTCAGCCCTTCTTGCCGGTTTCGAGGGGAGTCTGGGGTTGAGGGCTTAGACCGCACACCAAACCCTAAACCCTAAACCCTAAACCCTAAACCCTAAACCCTAAACCCTAAACCCTAAACCCTAAACCCTAAACCGCCCTAAGCCTACACCCTCTTGTGTTCAAGGTGAACATGGAATTCGGCGACCTCTACAGTTCCATACTCGCTCTCTGGTCAGCTGTGAGTGGCGGAAATGCTCCTAAGCCGCAGCACAAAGTCGCAAGGCCAGGATTTTTGGAACGTTTTGCATACGTCTCCTGGAGTGCCCGAGGACTGGATGATGTATGGTTCTCTGCTGAGCACCTCCGCCGCACTATCACAAAGCCTGAAATGGGGGGAGGGCTCCGTGTGGGACGGTCTCTGACTCCTTGGTGCATCCCCAAACCCTAAACTGCCCTAAACCCTAAACTCGAGAGACCCTAAACCCTAAACCCCTAAACCCTAAACTGCCCTAAACCCTAAACTCGAGAGAGATCGGGGATCAGGAGGCATAAGCCACGGCGAGCTTTACTTCGTCATCTTCAACTTCTACATCGCGTGCCCTGGTGGCACTTAGAGGCCCAGGGGACTTAGTAAGTTTGTTATAAGTAGAGTTATAATTGGGGTACTTCCCTTTAGGGTACTTATAACTCTACTTATAACCTACTTACTAAGTCCCCTGGCCCTCTAAGCAGAGCCTTGTTTCTTTGGGAGGCTTATTCGGAGTCGACTCGCAGCAATGAATCCGGATTGATCGGCAGTTGCGCTCTGTAGGAGCTTCGCAGACTAGTAAATAAAGGCTCCATAGTAGGTTGACATATGGGAGTTTGAATATTGGGGGTACCTTGTTTGGGGCCCCTACAATACGGATCCTACTATTTCGGGTACTGTATGCGGGTCCCCTATTTTCGGAAACTCCCATACATGTCCTGCACCCTGCACCTCGTCAAGCCTACATCCCTGAACCCTTAAACCCCTGTCCTCCTAAAACCCTAAACCCTGAACCCTCATACGCCCTCCCACTCGTAGTGCCCGCTGCTCCCAGGTTCTGCGTGATTGGAATGTTCAATGCTCTGCCCTCAGAAATTTTTAAGGGGTCAAGCGTTTAAGGGTTTAGGGGTTTAGGGCAGTGGAGTTTAGAGTTTAGAGTTTAGGGTTGAGGTTGTAGGTGTTTGGAGTTTAGAGTTTAGAGTTTAGGGAGTTTAGAGTTTAGGGCTTAGGGGTTCGGTGTTTAGGGGTTTAGGGCAAGGACGTATATAGGTGTTTAGGGTTGCGGGTTTAGGCGTTTGGAGTTTTGGGGGTTTAGGGGTTTATTTCTAGGGGTTTAGGCGGTGGAGCGCAGAGGTCAGACAAAAAAGCTAAACCCTAAATCACAAACCGTGCCCAGGTGGTCACAGGTGTCTTCGTGGACAGCGCCGTTTGTTGCAGGCTCGAGATTGGCTTTTAGGGTTTAAGCTGCTTGTGCAAGCTTCTCAGCTCAGCTGACATTCCAAAATCCCCATGCCGCCTATCCCAAATCCTAAACCCTAAACCCTAAAAGTCCCTACTATTGATGATATAAACCCTGCATTACCTTAAGGACCCTAGACTATGGGAATTATGGTATATTCCTTATTGTGGCTAATGCAGGATTAATACCCTCAACCGTAGTGGTGGAGATCTAAGCTTCGAATCTTGTGAAGATGTTGCATCTGATGGAAGCAACAGTAACATGGTCCACGGCCGTGGCACTACACTCGGGGACTGCTGCAAAGGATGGACTGTTGGTGGTATGCTGAAGCTCAGGGTTTGCTAGATGTTAGGGCTGTCATGTAAGATGTCTAAAGGGTTTAGCGATGCAGCATTTAGAGCTGAAGAGTTTAGCATGTTCGCAGAGATTATGGTCATGAGGACTTGCAGGGGTACCCGAAACTAGCTAAACCCTCTAGTAGCTTTGTAGATGCCTTATAGGATCCCGTATCGTCCCATACAAGGAACCCTTACCGTTAACCCTTACAGGAACCTCCAAGTATCCCCCAAAGCCTCGTTGTAGGGCACATGTCCCAAGCGTGCCAGGACAGAAGACGAGGTGGTTCAAGGCGCCCTGCTGCACTCTGAGGGTTTAGGGTTCAGGGCTTAGGGTTTAGGGTTTGGGGTCTAGGATCTAGGGTTCAGGGCTTAGGGTTCAGGGTTTAGGGTTCAGGGTTTAGGGTTTGGGGCTTAGGGCTTAGGGTTTAGGGGACTCTGAGCAGTCGCGGGGTTCATCTTTCTTTCGTTTTGGGGCCTGGGGTTAAGTACTATAGAGGCCTTAATGATTACCTATGCTACTTTAGGGGTTTATTATACTTTTAGTATAATGGGCCCCAAAACCCTATTCTAATTATTAAGGCCCCCATCGTAAGGACTTTTGGGGTTTCTTATTAGAATTTAGTATAATGGGCCCCAAACCCTACTGTGAGTATGAAGGCCTCTAGATGAAACGTTTCGGGTTTGTTGCCGAAGTGCGAAGGTTCCAGGCTTAGGGCCAATTCCCGAAGCGCCTTACCCAAAACCCCTAAACCCTAATCCCTAAACCCAAAACCCCAAACCATTACCCTTGCACTCTGCAGGTTACATCGATGACCTGAGGAATACGACCCGAGAGATCAAGTCCTTCTTCCAGACTGCCGACACCGATCGGTCCGGGACGCTGACATACGAGGATGCGGCGTGACAAATTCACAACCACTGAGGTAATAACAGTCACATAACAGCAACAGCAACAACAGCAACAAAAGTATTAGTTCTAATAGTAGCGGATATAGTAGCAGTAGCACTCGCAGCCTGCTACCGCTTTATGCGTCAGGCCGATCACACCGACAATTGACGACGACGTCGACAGCAGACGAGGAGGAGGACGACGACAACGGCGGAATCCGCAGCAACCACAACGGCGCCGGCGATGACGACCACGACCGCCACAACAATCACGACCGCGACCACGACGACTGCGAAGACGATGACGACGACCATGGCGACGGCGACGGCGATGACGACGACGCCGACGACGACCGCGACGACGACGACGCCGACGACGACCGCCGCGACGATGTTGCATACTTTGTCTGGAGTAGCTTTGTCTCGCAGCACGCTAGTATGAGATCCGTTGCTCACCAGGAGTTCAAGAAGCAGCTGGACGACCCTCTCGTCAAGGCGGCAACAGCTCAAAGCCTTGCATTATCACTTTTGCCGGACTTCAAGCCCGTACAACCTACTTTCCACACCACTAAAGACCTGAAAGAACATAAGAAAAGCAAGTCGCTGTGCCTCGCTGTTACCTGCAAGGCATACTTCTCTGGGCTGGACATTGACCCATCGGAGGTCGGACGAGGGATCCGGGTGCAGGGCACTTTGCCCGTGCCTCGCGTTGCAGCAACAGGTCGACACCACGCATCTAAACCGGCCGTTGTACCAACAGAGAAACAGCAATAATAGCAATAGACGATTAGTTTCGATGGTTTCAGACAATGAGGCCGCCGGGTCACTGGTGTTACGGTGATACGCTGAAGGGGGTTGGGGGTTTGAATGCAGTGCAAAACGCCGTTGGCGGAGGCCTCGATCATCTTTGCGATCTTGGACGCAGACAAGAGCGATGAGCTCAAGATTGATGAGTTTGTGCAACTTGGCGAAGACTTGTGATCGGGTTTGCACCCGAACTCCCCCGCAAGATCACGATGAACAAGACAGTGGGGAAGCAAGCTAGCAAGTACCTGCTTCTCCGGCAGACATCCTAAACCCTAAACCCGAAACCCCAAAGCCCTAAACCCCAAGCCCCAAACCCTAAACTCTCTCTTCAACAGGAACGGCACCATGAAGCTGAAAGGAGCTGCCACGAAGTTGGATGCCGGGAGCTCAGATGGGAGCCTGGATTGCATGTGGAGCTCTTGGTGTAACCCAGAGACTCCTATAGCCCTTAACTAAGGAATATACCTTGAATAAGGAATAGATCTTAAACTATAAGGAATATTCCTGCAACTGGAATCTCTGAGCGCGTTTGAAGTTTCAGGTCATGACAATGATGTTCGACAACACCAAGCAAACCATCAAGTTCAACAACCTGTGCGAGTTTGCCTGCGCCTGAATTGGGTTTTGTTCTCATTCACAAATCTGAGATTCCGTGGAATCAAGTTGATTTACAGCATTTTCATGCCTATGTGTCCAGGTGGAGCAGGAGTTCACAGACATCAGGCCAGCTTTTGTGTTCCGCCGTTCCGCCGACTGCAAACCAAAGCAGCGTGCTCCAACATGTCGCGCGTTTGAGTCAAAGTGGCTCTGAGTCTGCCCTGATCTTCCCTTGCGACAGGAAAGGGCTGCTCCTGCTCGCGAGGAACGTCCAAGAAGTCCGGACCGAGGCCGCAGCTGCTATCGAGCTGTCCGCAGCTTCCGCGGCCTCGCCGCCGGCGTCGCCGTCGGCTGCGTCCCCTGCGCCCCCGGAAACCACGGCACCATCGCTGCTCCATGAGGCTTTGTCATAGTTGGGTAACATTTTACATTTTTATGGGTACTTAAACCCAATAAACACTAAAAGTGTACATCTTTAATCCAATCCCAACCGTGAACTAGGAGGAGGATGGCGAGTCCAGGAGGCCGCGCTCAGGCCGGCCTGTCTACAACACACACCTTAACTGCAAGCCCCAGGCGCCTGGTAAAGCCCAAGCCCTGAGGCCCCAGTATGTACGTATAAATATGAAAATACAAATAATAATATCATTAATACATATATGTATATGTATATGTTCCTATATATATATATATATGTATATATATATATAGTTATAAGTAAGTGTATATATATATATATATATATATATTGATATTGTATATAACGGTATATATGTATATATATATATATATGTATACACATACATACATACATACATACCGAAGGGTTGCAGCTTCGTGGGGTTGCCTGCAGCGCAGGCCATCCAAGCCGCCGGAAACCGAGCAGCGTCCACCGAGCCGGGAGCTCGGTTCGAAGCATCCATGTGGGGGTTCAGGGTTGAGTAGGGTTTATAATGTTTAGGATTTAGGGTTTAGGGTTTGGTGTTCAGGATTTAGGGTTTAGGATTTAGGGTTTAGGGCTTCCAATCAGGGACGCATTTCCTGGGGGACTGTGGATGCTACAACAGTTACGGTCTGCGTTGCAGTAGGGTCCCCTAATCGTTGAAACTTCCATACCCACATTGTTCACGGAATTCTCAATATGGCAACAAGTGCAAGAGCAAGGTAGCAAGACCAGTAGTTACAAAACTGCGACCGTTGAAAGAAGTATCCCGGCTACAGTGCCGTTGCCACTGATAGCACTCTTGCAAACACAATAGAATCTTTAGCGCTCGGTATGCCGACCTGATTAAATAGAGAGTACAGTTGATGTGTGAGAAGGACAGAAATCGGGATGAGCATGACCATGAAGAAGAAGATCAAGATGATGATGATGGTGATGATGACACCGCCGTTGATGATTATGACAATGGTCATTCTGCGCGACGGCGATGGTGATGTTGATGGTGATGACAATGCTGAAGATGATGATAGCCAGCATGCTGACGAATAGGAAGATGATGAGGAAGATGATGACGACTATGTAAAGCATGATTTTTTGGGGTAGTAGTACTCGTTGGTGCTCGCGGGAGTAGCAGTAGCCGCTTCATTCCGAGGGTTCAGTGGTGCCACGATGCCTGCACAAGATTTTCAGCCGCGCAAACCCCAAGAGCCCCGACCCCCGGCACAAGCTCTAAACCCCAAACGCAGAACCTAGCCTTCAAAATCTAGGCACCCTACACAACACTTTATTGTGACCCTTTCTTGAGCTCGGCTAGATAATCCGAACAGCGTAACATAATTGTTCCCTCACCCCACTTGAGGTTGCCGTTATGGCCCCAAGCCTCAAGCCGTCCCAAGCCCCAAGCTATGGCTCTTCAAATCCTGAAAAGAAGCAGCAAAGACAACCCTGAGTCCTTACAAGAGTGTGAAATAACCTCAAAACTTGGTTTTATCAAGATATGACACCCCTTGTAACATTCCGAACCACTATAAACGCCGGTAAACCCATTACCAACACTCCAATAAACTTTATTAACAAGCAAGATAAGTTGCTAGACAACACAACCCGCAAACCTGACCGTACACCCCAAACCCCAAACTCCCCGAACTCCCTAAACCCTGAACCCTAAACTCCATTACACATAAAAAACCCCGAAACCCTCAACCCAAACACCTCAAACACAGAAAAAGCCACCCTAAACCCGAAACCCGAAACCTTGAACCCTAAACCCTACAAGCCCTACAGACGTCTGCAGACGGAAAAAAGGGAGGTTAACAAAAACAACAAGACCCAAGCTGTCCAGGTCCCGAGCTCGGCCATCCGCGTGAGACCCCGCTCCTGCACGCCGGATTCGAGGGCGGAGGGCGAGGTGCCTTTGGGTTTAGGGCTTAGGGTTTTAGAGGTTTAGAGGTTGAGAGGTTTAGAGGTTGAGAGGTTCAGGGGTTCAGGGGTTTAGGGCAGAGTTTTTTTTTTTCTGCTTTGTTTCTTTTTTGCGCGTGTGTGTTGTGTCAGGGTTAGCCTGCGAGCGTTGAGGCTCCGGGATTTCTGGCGTTTAAGTGGTTTAGGGTTTAGAATGTAGGGTTTAGAGTTTAGAGTGTAGAGTTTAGGGTTTAGGGTTTAGAGTTTAGGGTTTAGGGTTTAGAGTTTAGAGTTTAGGGTTCAGGGTTTAGGGTTTAGGGATTCGGGTTTAGGGTTGAGAGTTTTGCAGTTCATTTCGGGTCTAGGGTTTTGGGGTTTAGAGTTTTTCCTTTCGAGGTTTAAGTTGGTTCGCGCTTGTGGAAAGCTCGAAAGCTAGCTAGACGACTGATGAAATACATAGAGGGATTTAAAGAGTGTCATTGTCTATTTTGCCGAGGGGAAGGGGTTGGGTCTTGTTTCTTCGGGTTTCGGGGCTCTTGTTTTTGTCCTGAAACCTTTCGTGAGCATTGTTGATGATATAAATCCTGCACTACCTTAAGAACCCTAAACTATGGGAATTATGGTATATTCCTTATTATGGGGAATGCAGGATTTGTATCATCAACCGGTATTGGGCTTCAGGGTTACAGGGTATGGGCAGTTCTCTGACTGAGGGTCCCTTTCCGGCGCCCTTGCAAAGAGGATCCTAGAAGGGATCCTGACTTCGAGAACTACCCTTCTAGAAACCCTGTAGAAGCCCTTATAGATCCCTTTCAGGAGCCCTAAACTTTAGGGCTTTGGAGACTGTTTTGTGGTTTACGACTCCAGTCTGCAATAGGTTTTTTGAGCACCATGCGAAGAGTTGTAGACTTTGAGAACTATCTTTGTGGTTGTTATCATTATCGTTGTTATCATTATCGTTGTTCTCATTATTTTCTTATTATGTTTAATTGCTATTGCTATGATTGTTATTATCATTACCATTGCTATGATGACTACTGTTATCACTCTCATTGTCATTACCATTATTATTCGTAATTGTTCTGCTATCAAGATCGTCCATATTATGAATACCATGTTTCTGTTATGGTCATCATTACTACGTACTACTACTATTACTTAGGGGTGGTTGGGGCGTTACAGGATGTCCAGCTTGCGGTTCGGGAGCTCTTGGTGTGTGGGCTTGGATCTTTAGCCGAGTTTCCTTGAGTCTCAAGGGCCCCTCGAATCGCGAGGAAGTCGCCCCGAGTTTTCTGCACATTTTGTGATTGTATTGAAGCCTCAACATTGGGCCGGATTCCTCATCATCCACACTCGGATTCCTTAAACCCTAAGCCTCACAGTGTATACCCAAGACCCTAAGTCCTACACCTTCAATCTCGAACCCTATCGTGAACCCTAAAACCAAGCCTTTCTCTGACCTGCCAGGACCGCAGCCCATCGCCAGAGAGGAGGCATGGAGAGGATGGAGAACTAAATGATAGAGAATTCCCTGTGTCGGTAGTCCCAACAAGGGCCAGACTGCAAGGGCTTAGGGGTTTTGGTACTGGGTGTATGAGGCTGGAGGTTTTGGCTTTTAGGGTTGAGGGTTTTCAGTTTGATGTTCAGGGTCAAGTGTCGAGGGTTTAGGATACCACTTACTTTCTCATAGTTGTCGATATCGTCGTGGTAGTAGAGGCAGTGGTAGCGGTAGCGTAGCCACAGCAATCACAGGAGTAGTAGTGGGCGCTGGCGTAGCAACAGCAGCAGCACCAGCAGGAGGAGTACTTCGTAGTAGTAGTAGTAGTCGTCGTCGTCATCGTCGTCGTCGTCGTCGTGGGTGGTAGTAGTAGTAGTAGTAGCAGTAGTAGTAGTCGTGGTGGTAGTAGTAGTAGTAGTAGTAGTAGTAGTAGTAGTACTAGTACTAGCAGGCAGTAGCAGTCACAGTCCCGGTCGCAGTCGCAGTCGCGATAGCAGCAGTAGTATTTGCTATCACGGCGACAGGCGCAGTCGCAGTGGCAGCAGCAGCAGCAAAGCAAAGCAACAAGTTAGCAGGGGTCTGACTTCCAATTGCCATCATTCATGCCAGCCAGATGACTGATGGGAGTCGCAGCATACCATGACCATCATAGAGGAACAGTATTGCAACAGCCACGCTGGTCTCGACAGCAATGAGAAAGATAGCATTTCAAGATTTAAGCGATATACTGCAGTAGCCCTAACCTCATGAATGTAGTTCTCTAAATTAGGTTCCTTTGTTAGGTCCCAAATATAGTACGGCACCCTTATAACGAAGGATCGTGAAAGGGACCCTAATGTAGAGAACTACCCATGACATGCATCTGCTTTTCTGTGCAGGCCAGAGAGGAACCTTGTCAGGGTCAGTGGGCATGAGCCGTTTTAGTAGTGGACCTATCGCCTGTGAAAAGAGGCGAGCTGAAGAGACGGAATGGTGCATCCTTCCATCCGAAGCAAGCTCAGAAGAGGCAGGATAAGAAGCCAATGTCTGCCTAGTCGAGATGGAACCCATTGGTGAAGTTGTATCCTGGGCGCAGGACAGAAGCTCAGACGCTGGCATTGGCTTCTCTTCTTGTTTTAGAGCCCTTCCTTCTTTCTGCCGTCACGATGTTGCGAACGCAACATGTGCCGCGGCAGCGGTTGCCTCCAAGAGGCTTTTAGGTTGAGTTTTTGTCCAAGAGTTACGACCGTAAAATGTGAGCATCAGACAAGTTCGATTGCTGTCCCTAAACCCTAAACCCTAAACCCTGAACCCTGAACCCTAAACCCTAAACCCTAAACTGTGATTGCTGTTGTTATCGTCGTTGGCTGGGCCTCAGGCCGATTTTTGGCCCTTGACGCAGTCTGTGAGATGTGTTCGCCTTGTGTGTCAAACCCTAAGCCCTCAACCATGGTGTCTCACCTTGACATCACTTTGCGATCAACCTGGGTAGTTCTCAAAACCGGATAGTTTCGCAATCTGAAAACACGGAGCTCGTCTTCAGTGCGAGAGCTACCCTTTTAGGGGCGCCCGAAAATGCGCCTTTGTGTGCAGTGCAGGCTTGGTGCAGAGAGAGCTGTTCCAGCTGCCTCCCCGGAGCTGTCCGCGTGAGCCTAATGGTTTGTACTCGGAACGTAACGACCCATTCCCAAAACACAGCGGCAATATCAGTAATGCCAACATTACTTACACAACTGGATCTGGCCGAACTTTTCGGTGGCTCATGGGAAAACATTTTGCAGAGAATTTCCAGTTCTAGCGCCTTCAAACGATAGTGTTTCAACGCTGCGCAGCGAAAGATCCGCGCTGCTTCGATTCCACGAGTTTTCAACCCCCCAGGTTCACAAGCGTGTTGTTGCTCTTCTTGTCCTTTCACCTTTGTCGTTGTCGTTGGGGTTGTGGTATGTTGTCGTGGCTGGTGCTGCTGCTGCTGGTGCTGCTGGTGCTGCTGCTGGTGCTGCTGCTGCTGTTGTTTCTGTTGCACTAGTAGTAGTAGTAGTAGTAGTTGTTGTGGTTGTGGTTGTGGTTGTGGTTGTGGTTGTGGTTGTGGTTGTGGTTGTTGTTGTGGTTGTGGTTGTTGTTGTTGTTGTTGTCTCTTCTTGTGCCTGTCGTATCGTCTTAGCTGGTGTTTTCAGTCTCTTCATCCTCCACTCTGCGCTCTAACACCTAAAGAACCCCAGCCCACAAACCCTAAAGCCGAACCCCTAAAACCTGTAGTCATTCTTAAACCAAAAACACCTTCAGTAGCCCTTATGGCATATGGGAACCCTTATAGTATAACCCGCCCTTAAACTCCAAACCCTAACGTTGATGACGGTGCCAGGCTGATGCCCGCGGCTTCGCGCTGGAGCTGGCAGAGGTGAGAGGTTGTCAAAATTATGGTCCCTTTTTGAGTACCCTAAATATTTGGTGCCGTGTTATAATAAGGATCCAAAAGGGACCTTACTATTAACAACCACCCATGTGGGGTTGCAGGAAGTGCTGCTACTGGTGTCTGGTATTAAGGGTTCTGCTTTCAGGGCTTATGTTACTGTCAGGGTCCCGAATATTCTGGAACGCGTATGTGTAAGGGTTTTCGAACGTTTGGGAAGGTTCATCAGGATTGAGGGTTTAGCATTTGGGGGGCGCAGGGCTTGGCTTTCCCGTGCCTTCTTTCCCAAAGCTGTGGCGAAGGGTGCTCCTGTGGAGGTGGTTTGGATGGCATGATGTGATGAAGAGGTTAGGACCCTAATATAGGGGCATTAACATTTAGAAGAGGGTTTTGGGGCCCATTATACTACATCTATAATAAGGAGCTCCCAACCCACTGGCAGGGAGGGTTTTGCTGAGGTTTGTCGGCCTTTCGATGGTCCCGAGGTTGCTTTTTCGGGGACAGCTGTCTGGTTTCTGAATCTTGGCATGTTGGCCCTGTCTCCAAATCCGGCGCGTACATGGGGGGGGGGTGGTGGTAACTCCCAACCATGAAACGCTGCATCCCTGGACCCGAAAAACCACAAAAAGTTTGTCAACCTTGAACAACTGAGGTTTTTAAGCTTGGGGCTTAGGTTGGATCCTGCCCCAACTCGGTAACAGTTAAAGAATATTCGTAGTCTGGAAATATGAGGGAGTGTTGCTGTATGAGGGCAGTGCTCAAGGTTTGGCGTTCCTACTTGGAGGCCCAGGGGACTTAGTAAGCCGGTTATAAGAAGGGTGTTAATTGGGGGTACAATAACTCCACTTAGGGTACTCGTACTTATAACCCATTTACTAAGTCCCTTGGTTGTCAAAATGGAGGTCCCGTTTTGGGTGCCGTATTATAATAGGGACCCAAAAGGGACCATCATTTTGACAACCACCCATTTAAGGCCCGTATCCTAAACCCCAAACCCTATAGATCTTAAAAAAACCCTGTAGATCCCTCAAAGGAAACCTTAAGGATCCCTTAAAAGCACCCCTTATAATAGAGATCCTTCGCAACGAGGCGCAGCCGGCTGCATTTGCCTACCGCGTCGTGAGCGAGGCATCCAGGGGCGACTACACAGAGACTCCAATATCCCTTGATTAAGGAATACACCATAATTTATAGTAGGACCCCTAATATAATTTACGGAATTTTCCTTGATTAAGGGATATTGGAGTCTCTGGGTACGTGGTTTTATACCGGGGTTTGCAGGGGTGCCTAACCCCTAAACCCCTAAACCCTAAACCCTTACGAGGGATTCATGGGGTTGTAGAAGGGGTTGGTTCGGCTTTGTGTGTCGGGCTTGTAAGTTTTCTTTTTTTTCTTTTTCGATGGTGCCTGCGGTACAGCTTCGGATGCTTGCGGTCTTGGGATCAGGATGCCTAATGTAGGGGCCTTCACATAATTTTCCTATACTATTTTGGGGGTTCCTCAGTATATTATGGTATAATGCACCCCCCAAACCCTATTCCAATTACATAGGCCCCTATATTAGCTTATTCGGTGCACGGGTTTGTTGTTGTGGGTTTGGGTTTCATGTATTGCCCCTATCAGTTTCGCTGTTGTACTCGTCCTCTTCGCTTCTATCATGGCTCATGGCCCTTGCGGTTTCTGCTAGTCAACACACATTCACGCTGATGCGCTTTCGGTTCCGAGTGCTCAGCTTCACGTTAGCAAATGCGACGACCTATAGGATCATGTCGATCCCGTCGGAGGTGCAGGGCATCCTGGCAGTCTTTGTTTGCGGCTGCTTCGCGACATTGAACTTGGTGCTATCCAAGTTACTACAGGGCTGGCAGTGGCCGTACTTCTTTTTCGCGGGACTGTGCTCGTTGGTGATTGTGTTGTGTCTCCATGCTGTGCTGGTGGCACGGCAAGGTCTCGCTGCCTATTCCTGCGATAGGAAGGAAATCAAGTGGGTCCTTTTACGAGGACTCTTTGGAAGTAGCAACAACGTCCTGAGCGTTTGTGCAGCCTTGGCGGGTGCGCCGATGGGCAGTATCGGCGTGCTGTCTAGTGTAAACACGGTAGTGGCTGCACTCCTCGGACGAGCTGTGCTGGGAGAGCCTTTGGGGAAGCTACATATCCTCGCCGTGCTGTTCTCGTTGGCAGGTGCTGTTCTGATCTCCGACCCTCAAGCCACGGTGAGTGAAGGCACAGCGATCGGGGCCTCTGCCTACCTAGGCTATGTCCTCGCCCTGCTGTCTGGGGTCTCGCTCGGCTTCATCTTCATCAGCTCGCGCAAGTCCAAGTCCGCCTCTCCCCTGCTGCTTACGACATCCTCCATGACTTTCCGCTGCGTCACCTGCTGTACTTTGGCATGCATTCCAGCGGTGAACAGTGGTGGGTTGCAGATCCTGGCAGACTCCCCAGGCTTTGCCGTTCTACTCTTGCTCGCCCTGCTGGTCGCCATGCTTCTCTCCAACCTGACGTGCAGTGTCGGGTCGCAGCTCTGCCCTGCTGCGATCAGCGCAACTGCGATCACCGCAACCAACATGATCACTGGTTACGCAGCAGACATCCTGCTTTTCCACAAGGTTCCGAACATGTTGACTATCTTCGGAGCTGTCATAATGTTGCTGGCCGTGGTGACCGTCGCCGTGGCGAGGCTGCCGCCACGAAATTCAGCGCCAAATGTCGCGGCGTCCACGCCCGAGCAGAGCACATCCACAACTGCCAGTGCCTCGCAAGAAAGCTTGGTCAGCTTCGTCGCATCCGAGTATGCAGAGCGGCAGGACTCCCCTCGCCAGATCATTCGGCACCGAACAATTCCAGCGTCCATGCTTGCAGCAGCGACGCAACTAGGAGCTGTGTCGGCATAGTTAAACCTCCAAGTAACAAACCGCCGCGACGGTGTCGGTTTGATGTTCACATAGCTCCTGCCTGGGTGCAGCTGGGTAATACGGCCATGCTGCCAGCGAGACTTTTGACAATTCGGCAAATGCCTGAATGTAGAGAGGCTTTCGACTCCGTGATTTCAATCTGCACAGTTTTCTGCCAAAGCGGAGGCCCACCAAGCAGGCTGTACAGGTATACAGAGGCTTGCGCGGCGGCAGAAGTTCGAATGCTCTCTGCGGAAATGGAAGAACAGCTGTAACTCCCAGACTCCTAGAATCTTAGGGGTACTTAGAAATAATTTTTAACTTTTGGTATTAGAATCCCTAAGAAGCAGCTAAAATTATATTTTTTGCTAGGGTTTCTAAGTTCAGTTCACATGGGGAAAGCTGCTCTGCAACCTTTGTAGGGCCCGTGAAAAATCCACAGCCTCACAGTTATGGAACCCTGGTAGAACCCTTCGGACACACTAAACCCCTAAACCCTAAACCCTAAACCCTACACCCTTCTGCTGCAACCCCGCGAAGCCGAAACGTTGGCTTGGGTTAGTGGTACAACTGGATTGAGGGTTTAGGGCTTAGTGATAACCAAATATATCATACTCCTTGTGTTGATCGTAAATACGAGCCTG